AAAACGAAAAGGAAAAGGAAAAGGAAAAGGAAAAGGAAAAGGAAAAGGAAAAGGAAAAGGAAAAGGAAAAGGAAAAGGAAAAGGAAAAGGAAAAGGAAAAGGAAAAGGAAAAGGAAAAGAAAAACAAAAAAAAAGAAAAAGAAGAAAAAGGAAAAGGAAAAAGAAACACAATAGGCAAAGTTTGCGGTTTTATCACTGTTATGATTCAGTGCATGTAAAGTAATGAGTGGGCAATGATTCTCAAAATATTTTAGATGTCATGCAAACAGTGACAACCTGTTTTTAAAGCTGCATTAAAAGTCTTGACAAAGGCTCAAAATTTGTATATTGTTTTTCAGGAGAAAAGTAAAAATAATTGACAAAATAAGTAATTTAAATCCTTCACTAAAGCAGGATTGTAATGCAATCAGAAGTGCCTTTGTGTTAGTTGTTATAATTGACATCTCTGTACTTTTGAAAACATATATTTGATTGCAGTCTTGTTGCAGGAAGCAATTCAGGAAAGATACAAGTGTCTAAGAAAAGAGGCTCCTCGGCAGATGCAGGGATCAAACACCTGTCTGTACATCACAGGGATTCCACGTCTTTGCCCCATGAGCACATCTGGAAAAGCTGGACTGTGTCTTTAGAAACATGAGCTGACATTTTCCTCCCAAAACCCAGTAACACTGACAGAAGCATGCCCAAAAATGCTGATTTTCACCTTTCTCTTCTGAATTGGTTCTGAAATGAGCTAGCAACAAGAAGGTGGCATTACTCCTCTACATTATGCAGCATAAATCTTTATTAAGCATTAGAAAAGAAAACCCAGGGTTCAAGCATCATCAATAAATCACTGCAGTGAAGAAGAGTGAAAAGTCTTTATACTGTGTGAGTTTTCTGTCCATTTTCTTGAAAGAGAAAAAAAATTCCAATGAGAAACTCATGGTTTATTTGATCAACTGTATATCTGAAGCATTTATTTATTAAAATTGTTTGAACTGCCAGATGAGATGTCATCTTTTTCTTTGTATATGTAACATCATATCTTATGACATTCACTGGCAGCTCCTATATAAACCTAAAACCTAACACCAGACAGAACCTTGTAATTGGTCTGTAAAGTTGAAGCTTATGCATGAAATGGCTAGAGGCTTCATTACTTCCAGACCAAAAGGGCAACAGGGACTATTAAGGAAGTACACTGCAGAACAAAGTAAAAAATAATACCTTAAAATAACAACAGGAGGTCAGCACTGAAAACCAGTTGCACAAGGTAAATATTTTGTAAGAGCCAGAAAAAAAATCTGCTTTATCTCGATATCCATCAAGGTGGTGCATACAAATGCTTCAAATACCAAGCAAAATAATTCAATCTCCAAGCAAGTTTCAGAAAGAGTCAGCAATCCTTCTCGCTGAATTGCTAAATAGCAAGTTGTCCAGGTTCCTCCACACTTGCAACATAGATTTTATATTCTTGTACCCCAAAATTTGTATTCATTCAAAAGCTAGCAGACAAACATTTCCTAAAGCAGATCTGTCAGCATTCTAACTTGCTTCCTGTCAATAATGTCATATTCTTCCCTTTTTAGATGGAATATTTTTCACAGGTGTTGGTGAACAGTTAATGAAACTGTGAAGAGCCCCAGTAGACAGGTCTGTTCACTAACTGCTTCATATCTTGGTCCACTACATGCTCTCTTATGCTTGTACATTTTTCTCATCTGATCATCAAGACTTCCAGCTGTTCTCTAAAAAGCTACCCTCCACCTCCTCTAGAAGGAGCCATCTGTGTTGTAGTGGATCAGTCTACCTCTAGAGTTTGCCTTGAAAGAAGCAAATTCTGAAGGGATAACCAAGATTTTAATTATGTCAATCCTCCTTGATTGCATCACTTGGTCTTCAGACTATAGAGAGA